CAACAAAGTCATATGATAAATCTAACTTGTAGAACTGTCAAAATCTTTTTATTCAAAGACAAATATTAGCTGGGTGCCTGGTTGGCTCAGTCAGTCAATGGAGTGTGTGACTCTTGATATCGGGGCTGTGAGTTTGAACCCCACATTAGGTGCAGAGATTACTTAAAAAAAAATAAAATCTTTAAAATTAAAAAAAATAGGTAGATAATACATACATACTGTTGGTTGTTAGTTTGGTTGATTTGCTTGTTAGTCTGTTTCCTCTGGGGTAGGGGGAGAAGGGTGAGGAATACACCACCCTGGGATATTAAAATATGACCTACAAGTTTCTTGCCACAACAGATCAACAAGAAATTAAGTCCGTGAAAGAACATTTTTCAAAGTGACAATTATAAACAAACTGAGAAATTTGTAAGAACTTGACAGAAGTTGGAGAGAAGGGAACTTATTATCCAACCACAGTCTTCCATTCAAAACCCTTAAAGGGTTTGGGGACACTGGGAGGGTTCAGGAGTAGCCAGCACAAAAGAGAAGGGTGTGTTTTCCTAGTCATGAAAATTCCCAGTGCACACGCCACTAGGCATCTTACGCTCTTCCCAACTCATCCACCCAACTTCTACAAAGAAGAGATCAAGAGATTTTGATCTTCAACAGGAATTTTCGCTGCTGAGTGGGGGAAAACTTGGGGGCAAGGGTAGGCAGTAAATAGTCCACATTTTCTTTTCAAACAGTAACTGAGTTCCTGCTAGATGCAGACTACCACATTCTGGGGTTTCAAAGATAAATAAGGTCTGGTCCCTGACCGGGAGAAGTTAATGTTGAGAGTTGGGGTGCCTGGGTGGCTCAGTCAGTTACGCGTCTGCCTTTGGCTCAGGTCCACCCAATCATTGCCCCACATTTGGGGGCCCCATCTAATCAAGAGGCACACCGTTTAGGCACCACATTCCTGACCCTTCTTCTCTGGTCCCTGCTGCCCCAGACAGCCTCCCTAGATAACTCCCTGTCTTTGCCCATCTCTGAGACTTGACCTATCTTCCTAGGCCAGCCCTGCCTCCCCTAAACCTGGCTCTGCACCTGGCAATCTGTTTCCTCTGTTGGCCACAGTAACCTAGTCCTGACTTTGGACCAGAGGATGCCTGCTGGTGGGCTCTTTAAGTCTGGCATTGATAGAAAAGCACCTCAGGGTAAAGGACATGAAAGTAAACTATTCATGGAAATGACAAATATTTACATCATAACTTCAGGCAACATTGTATCCCACTATTTGTTTGTGTCAATATGGACAAAATTGAAGGCATCAGGGCCTGCCTTTTGCATTTTTATCTTGAAGGAGGAATTCTGAGTTTCTAATTCCAGATCTGCTATTTACCTGCTGTGTGACCATGCAGAAGTTACCACACATCTCTAAGCCTAGGCTTCCTCATCTGTAAAGTCAAATTAAGAATAATACTGACTTCATAGGTTTGTTGTGTGGAGTAAATGAGATAATATATGTTAAGGGTATTGGGCATAGCGTTTGGCACAGAGTGAGTGTCCAATAAATGTTAGGACAGAATAACATGGCTACATGTTAAAGCTATTTCCTCGCTACTTAAGAAATCTGAAAGTACTAGCATTCGAATTTTTATTGCTTGTATTTTTATTCTGAAAGTTTCAAGTGGAAAATATATAAAATATCCAATTAGATAAAGAACCAAGTTTCACATCTGATTAGTCAGTCTCCAGTTTCTCTAGGGCTCCATATTCAGGCTTCTCCCTTTTTTATTTTTTCCCTCCCGCCACTTGCATTTTTAACTGGATTTTCTTTTTACTATAGATTTAAAGAAAATGCATCAATTTTAAAACTTTTAAAGTAGAAATAGGTATAAAATGAAAAATAAACCTTTCTCTTCCACCAGACTTCCTATTCTTTTTCCCCTGAGATAATCACTATCAAATTCTTACAAATCTTCAAGCTTCTGAATATATTTTTCACACAAATAAGATCATATTATCATACCCTTCTGCACCTTGCCTTTTCATTTAATATAATAGCATATCATATAACAAAAGATACAGAGGTACCATGTCATTTTTAATGTATAGTAGACCTTTGCTTAAATGTAACATGCTTTGAGTTCCCCTATTGATGGATACTTATTTGTGATTCCTATTTATATAAATACCAATGTTTTATATGCTTTTGTACACATATCTTTGCACACTTTGGCAAGAATATGGGTAGGACAAATTTCTAGAAATGCCGCTATTAGGCCAAAGGGTCAATGCATTTTTAATTTGAATAAATATTGCTGCCAAACTGTTCCCCTCTGAGGTAGAACCAGATTGCACTCTGATCTCTCAATGGAGCATGCTATCTACTTTCCTATAACCTTTCACCAAATGTATTATCTAAGTTTTAAACTGCATTAATCTGATAGATGAAAAATTATTATGTCTTTGTTGTTTTAATGTTCTTCTTTTTAATTAGGAGTGAAATTGAACATTTTTCACATGCTCATTAGCAATTTGTATTTTTATAAACTACCTGCCAAAATATTTGCCCATTTTCTTATTTTTTTAATGACTCTAAATTCTTTCTATAGTAAAGGAAATTAACCCATTGTTTGCCATACGTGGTGCAGCATTACAATACATAGTGAAAATACTGCTGTCGCTAATTACACATTCATATTTATATATCACATGTGATTGCTCCACTTGTGAAGCCTAAAAGAGAAAAGTAAAATAGAAAATTAAGACTGATTTTATAGTCATCGGAAATGTCACTCTAGCATTTTATTATTGTACTTCATTAAACAAATTAAATGATGTCAACTGATGACTCATTATTTACTATATCCATTCATACAAGTGTCCCACAGATATACTTACTAGTAATATTTCAGTCCTTGTATCACTTTATAAAAAGTTACTGTACTAAAGATCAGACCATATGTGCCTTGCCTGGAGAACTGAGTTTTAGAGCTTACTTCTTTTAATACACCATTTATAATTATTCCATGGTAGGTATTTAGAGCCATCAAGGTATTTGATTAAATGATTCTAGAAGAAACCTGTGCTAACCAGAAAGAGCTGACAGTAGAAGAATGAAACAAGATGATCACATACCGTTTTGTGAACTATAGTGGGTGATAAAGGCTAACCCTAGAAAAAAATCACTATTGTCTGATTCCACAAAACTCCCATTTTCCAGTGAATAATGCCCCAATTAAACTGTGAGTCTCTTATGGATAGAAAATGTATCTTAAGATTCTTTTTAAAAAATTTTATTGTGGTAAGATGAAACCTAGCTTCTTAACAAAATTTTAAGTGTCCAATACATTATCATTGACTCTAAGTACTAGGTTGTACAGCAGATCTCTAGAGCTTATTCATCTTGTTTAATGAAAACTTTACACCCATTAATTAGTAACTCCCCATTTTCCCTCTCCTCAGCCCCTAGCAATTACCATTCCACTTTTTGATTCTGAGTCTTAGATACCTCATACAAGTGGAATCACGTGGTGTTTGTCTTTCTGTGACTGGCTTTTTAAACTTAGTATAATATCCTCCAGTCCACCCATGTTATCACATATGGCAGAATTTCCTTATTTTTTTAAGACTGAATAGTATTCCATCACATGTGGATGCCACATTTTCTTTATTCATCTGTTGATAGACATTTAGCTTATTTCCACATATTAGCTTTTGTGAATAGTGCTGCAGTGAGCATAGCCTTGCTAATATCCCTTCCAGATCGTGATTTCAATTATTTTGAACCAATACCTAGAAGTGGGATTGCTAGATTATGTGGTATTTCTATTTTTAATTTCTTGAGTATCCTGTATATTGTTTTCCACAGTGACTGCCCCATTTTGCATTCCCACCCACAGTGTATAAGGGTCCCCTTTTTTCCACATCTCACCAACACTTGTGGTCTTTTGTTTTTTTGATAATAGCCACCCTGATAGGTGCAAGGAGATATCGTTGGCCATTTGATCTCTTCTTTGGAGAAATGTCTATTCAAGTCCTTAGCTCATTTTTTAAATCAGGCTACAATTTTTTTTTACTGATGAATCTTAGGAGTTCTTGACATATTTTGGAGATTAACCTCTTATCAGATATGTGGTTTGCAAATATTTTCCCCCATTCCATAGGTTGCCTTTTCATTTTAATTATTTCCTTGCTGTGCAGAAGATTTTTAGTTTGAGATAGTTCTACTGTTTTATTTTTTTTTTTTTTTAAGATTTTATTTATTTATTTGAGAGAGAGAATGAGATAGAGAGCATGAGAGTGGGGAGGGTCAGAGAGAGAGGCAGACTCCCTGCTGAGCAGGGAGCCCGACGTAGGACTCGATCCCGGGACTCCAGGATCATGACCTGAGCCGAAGGCAGTCGCTTAACCAACTAAGCCACCCAGGCACCCTCTACTGTTTTATTTTTGGTTTTGCTGCCAACTAAGCTTCTTTATATGCCCCATAGTTAACAATTTCCATTAATATTTGCAGACTAAATATGAACTTAACAGGTATTTGTAATTATCTTGAGTTTTACCTAGTGGTTGTTAATACCATACAGTGGTCTTAAATATAATTCAGTAATTTCAGTATCAATACATTTAATTCCCCATTTCTAACTATGCCTGCTATGTCTCTGATTCATCATTTCTTCATATGCATATCCCTTATTCTTATTATCTCCTACTTTATTTAATCCATCAATTCCCAAGAGATTTTCTTCATCTATTTCTAACTATATAAACATATTTAGCATCTACTATACTATTTATCTTTTACAGAAGTACATTTTGGGGAATAAATACCGACCTGGGAAACATTACAAACCAAAAATGTTTAAAGTGAAGGTCAAACTTTTCCAACAATAACCACATGCTCCCATGTCCGTGGAGTTTTTTAGGTGCTTTAATCATGATCAAATGGTCCTTACTGACCTAATGCTATCCGTGAAGTTAATAGATCTGCCTTAAAATTGGTTAAAGGGGTTCTGAAGGTTATCTGTTCACAAAAGTGCAGATAGTGGTGATTCTTCTACCCTTAAGTTTCTCATGCTCCACATGTGCTTTGATTTGTGATAAGAATGCGACCTAGAAGACTGTGCAGACTCGGGACTCTGGGAGTGGGAAGACGCCCTCTGCATGAGGTTCCTGGATATGACCCTCTGAAGATTCTTCACAGAAGACCCGGCAGCCCTGGTGATCACCCAGGGATGATCCAGGGCCTGGCCAGCTGACATGCGATGATTGGCCTCCAACATAAGTAGTTTGTCTATAAAGTCCTTCGCCAGGTGGGAAATATTTGGCCAAGGCTAGGAAGGAAAAATAGATAAAGCAGAATAAAATCAATAAAATAAAAATACACAAACACACATAGAGCATATCTTCTTAATTACACAGATTAACGTGTATCAAACCCAAAAGACTTTTTCAAATAAGCAAGTTAAGTACTGTAGTATCGTTAAATATATAAGGAACCTGAAAATCACTTTTGAGAGAGGCAAAAAAAAAAAAAAATCTATTTGGTGAGGGGGAAAGACAAACACAAATTGTCTTCCAAACTCTCTGTTCAGTGAAGGAGAATTCCTTTCTAGAAATCTGTCCAGTGTGCTTCAATTAGCAGTGTGAGTTCTCACGTCACATTTATGTGAGCTGGACAAGGCAAAGCGCTGTTGTCCGTGACGTATACCAGCATCGGGTTAGTATTTACCACACTCTGGTCATCTCATAGAGCTCCCACGACTCCAAGAATCAGCTCGAGTGGAAAGTGGAATGAATTGAGAATCAACTTTTCTCTCGCTTTGAAAGCTGACCCCAGACTTAGGATGCTTCCATCTCCACAGCCTCCAGAGAGAAAGGGCAGAACAAAAAGGTCCCTTCAGTGAAGAATCCTCCTGCGGTGCATTTCCCCAACACCCTCAGGGCCCGCATGGTTCCCCATCAGTTAGCTCCAAGAGGGATTCTGCACGGAGCAGAACTACTGCAGGATGCAATGTGTACACCAGCGATTTGATGTTTCAGGGATTTGTTCTGGCAATATTTACAGCTTTTGCACATACTTTAAGTACAATAGCAGCAATTCATAGTAACTTTTGTGAGGATAGAGACAAGAGAGCCGTTGCTTTACACTTGTTTTCTGCATTGTCTACCAACACATACCATAGACCTAGGAAAAAAAAAAAAACAACTAAAGCTTTGTATCCTTTGTCATCTACAAAGGAGAAACATTGAGAAAATTGCCAGTACATTTGCTGTATTTCAAACAATTTCTGGTTGACATGTGTTTTTATTTTTATATTTTTTAAGATTTTATTTATTTGAGGGGCGCCTGGGTGGCTCAGT